CGCTCTTCATTTGCATAAAATTGAAGGATTCTGAACTTTGTCGCGTCGCTGGACACAGCTGGGCAATCATATCCCCTCAATTTCCTCCCAGGTTAGAAAACTTGGAGTCATTCTTGACTCAGAATTATGCTTATCCAAACCAAACAATTATATTGTTAAGAACAGTTTGTATCAATTGTGAATTATTTACAAAATTAAACCATTTTTGTCTTTTCAAGACTTGGAGAAGGTTACTCATGCTTTTATTACCTCACAATTAGATTATTGTAATTCATTGTATTTGGGTCTTCCTCTGTCATCGCTTACGTGCCTCCAGATGGTACAAAATGCAGCTGAAAGGCTGTTGACCAGGGCAAAGAAATATGACCATGTCACCCTAATTTTAGCTTAGCTTCATTGGCTTCCTGTCCATTTTAGAATTGTTTAAAATCTTGTTGCTCCTTTTTTAAAGCTTTTCATGATTGAGCTCCATCCTATCTGAAAGATTTTCTTACTCCGCTGTCATCTACCATACTTTTAAGATCTTCTGACAAGGCTCTTTTATCTGTTCCTTGTTCCCGTTTAAAAACTAAGAGAGATGTTGCCGCTCCCCATCTGTGGAACCAGTTGCCTCTGGACATCCACCTTGCACCTTCTATTACTATTTTCAAATCAAACTTAACTCTACTCCTTAGTGTTTTAAATTAACTCTATGTTTGTTTTATTGCCTGTTTTGTTGGTTTTACTCTGTCTTTATTTAACTTCCCGTACTTTGTTCAACACTTTGAATAGCTTTGCTATGTTTAAATGTGCTATATAAATACAATTTACTTACTTAACATCAACCTAAATTATCCTGGACCACAGGAGATGTTCTGTGATGGGGCTCCACCTGCTTCCCTACCTTTTTCCTTCAACTTCCACAAACACTATCCAAGCAACCATCGACTATTCCTGTGAATATTACCTCCACTTAAATCCCGGTGGATAAGCAATCCATGGATATCCCTGCCTGTTATGCCCCATGTGCAGATGTCTTTTGCCTGAAATGAGCCTCCAAGTTACCACCCCACCGACCATGGGACTGTGCCATTGACTGTCTCCCGTAGACATATCTATCCACTATCCATATCCGAACAGAAGGCCATGGAGGAGTACGTAGAAGAGGCTCTGAAGCAAGGCTACATTTGTCCCTCCACTTCTCCTGCTGCTTCCAGTTTCTTCTTCGTAGCTAAAAAGGACGGAGGCTTGCAGCCTTGCATTGACTATCAGGCACTCAACAAAATAACCATTAAGTTCCATTACCCACTTCCTCTAATAATAGCTGCTTTGGAGCAATTTCGTGGAGCCCCCATCTTCACCAAGTTGGACCTCTGAAGTGTCTACAACCTCATCCGGATACGTGAGGGGGAGGAGTGGAAGACCACCTTCATTACGCCATCTGGGCACTATGAGTACCTCGTTATGCCATATGGCCTGATCAACGCCCCCTCCGTATTCAAGGACTTAATGAATGAGGTGCTCCGGGACTTCCTGAACCGATTCGTGATCGTGTACATAGATGACATCCTTATCTATTCCTGGAGCCTGGCCGAACATCACAAGAATGTTTCGGAGGTCCTCCAGAGGCTCTGTGATTAAAACCTGTTCCTCAAGGCTGAGAAATGCAGCTTTCATCAGAGTGCCATCCACTTTCTCGCCATAGAAGTGTGGAGGCAATGGATATTGGGAGTTCAACACCCTCTCGTTGTACCCTTTCTCACTGATCATAAAAATCTACAGTATTTAAAAGAAGCAATGAGATTAAACCCCACACAAGCCAGATGGGCTTTGTTCTTTACCTGTTCCCTGTTCAACATCTCCTATCAACCAGGCTCCAGAAACACCTGATCTGATGCATTATCTCGATTTCACACCCCCCTGACATCAATGAAGACCCTGAACCAGTGCTTACTTCCACTCTTTTTGTCAACCCCATCCAGTAGATTATTGATGAGCAAATCTCTGAAGTCTCCAACAGTGAACCTGCTCCTGGTGTGCCCTCCAGATCATACCTCTGTTCCCAGAACTGTGTGCGATCTCCAAAGTTCCACTCCATCTAGCATCTGGTAAACGTCCTCCTCTGCCCATCCCTGGACGCCCATGGTCACACCTAGGGGTGGATTTTATCACCGATTTGCCTGCTTCTAACGGAAATACCTGCATCCTGGTTATCGTTGACAGATTCTCCAAAGCATGCAAACTGATTCCACTGAAAGGACTCTCCACAGCCATGGAGACTGTCAAAGCCCTGTTTAACCAGGTATTTCACAATTTTGGAAATCCCGAGGACTTCGTTTCCGACCATGGTCCACAGTTTACAGGAAAGCTTTTTTCTCACTCCTTGGTGTGACTGTTAGCCTGACATCCAGGTACCATCCACAATCCAATGGGCAGACGGAAAGGAAGGTGAAGGAGATCAGCCGCTTTCATAGGACCTTCTGCCACAGTCACCAGGACTCCTGGAAACAGTATCTCGCCTGGGCTGAGTATGCCCAAAATTCTCTTTGACTACCATCAACGGGTCTCACCCCGTTCCAGTGCACACTCGGCTTTCAACCGCCATTATTACCCTGGCCAGGGGAACCCTCAGAGGTACCATCCATCAACCACTGGTTCTGGGAGAGCGAGAGGGTGTGGAACGAGGCTCATCACCATCTTCAGCGGGCAGTGCACACACAAAAGATCTTTGCAGATACTCGGAGAAGGAACGCTTCAGCATACCAACCTGGACAACTCGTGTGGCTATCCATGAAGGACATCCGTCTGCACCTGCCCTGCCGTAAACTAAGTTCAAAATACATCTGTCCACTCCTGGTCATAAGACAGGTTAACCCCGTCAAGTATGAACTCAAGCTCCCCTCACAGTACAGAATTCACCCAGTATTCCATGTTAGAGCCCTGCATTTCAGCCCGGGCCCGACGGGCCCCGACTTTTTTACGCCCTTGGGCCGGGCTTCGAGCCAATTTTCACGTCATAGTTCAGATGCAGGCCGGGCCTCTGGCCTGTTTTAGACTTCTCCTAATTTTTATATTTTAGACATCCATCAATTAGTGATGACAAAATTTACTGCACTGGTGGAAACAACACGAGACCGTGCTGCCGCGACTTTCAAGAGCGGCTCTGTTTAGTGTCCCACAGCAGCATGCGTGCCGTCAGCGCAGTTGAACAGTTCTGCGTTCAAATGCACGCAATAGGCTAAAGCTTGCCGCAAAGCCCCAGCAAAAGTAATTACCATGAATGTGTCAGGGGGAAATAGTAATGAGATATTTGAATTATTTACTAATAAACTAGTGTATTCTGAGTCCGTGTCGCAAAGATGAAGATGAAGGTCCAGACTCGCCATCTCCTCAGACGCGCCTTTAGAGAGAAGTGCATCTTTACGGTTTATGATTATAATGAAAAAGTTTTTGTTTTCGATTTGTTTTATTTCATTAAGTGGTAATTTAAAGCTTTCTATAGATATATTTATCATGTCTGTGAGGCATGTATTCGCTGAGTTTCAATTCATTTTTGTGAAGCGTTCCTGTTCAAGACGAGACGGCAGAAAGCGCATCATGTTTGTTTTCTTCATTTTATAAAAGCACAACATTTTGCTGATATTGTGAGTGCACACAAATACAAGTAGACCCTTTACAGTTCAGAATGATATATTACTCATACCTTTATGAGCAAAAATGACGGCGTAGGCTATTTTAAGTTGTTTCCACTGAAAAAAAAAAATGCAAGTGATTGCGCTGGCGCCTCCATGTCCTGCAAAGCATGCTTTAGCTTCCCCTCTCCACACAAACTTGGATATAGCGCACATTTATTATAGTGCAGGTTTAACGTTTAAACATTGTTATATGCTTGAGCGTTTTAGCATATCTAGATTTTATTTTAGGCAAGTCGTGATGATTTGAGAAGGCTAAATTGATCAAACATAGGCTATGATCAGCTCACTGTCTGCCGCTGGCCGCTTGGTCACTTTAAAAACAAAAACTTATATTTAACAAACAAAAAATGCTCCAAACATTTTTCTAAATTAACTTAATAAAAAAAAACTAAACAAAATATAACCACTTTGCCATTACATACAAAACTGAACTATTTTAATAGCTGAAACAGTAGTATAAGCTGTTTTGGGATAAGGGGGAAAAAAGACGGGCTCGGGCCGGTAATTCTGATAAGCTGTCGGACTCGTGCCGGGCTAGGGCCTAAATTTGAGGCCCGTGCAAGGCTCTATTCCACGTCTCCCTGTTAAAGCCTCACTATCCACCTGTGTCTGTTCCCTCCACAGAGCCTGGCCCAATTGATGAGCCTCCCCATACCTCAGATCATCAGTGACCCCATCTACACAGTCAAGAAGACCATGGATTCCCGACACCGTGGTGGCCAACTGGAATATCTGGTGTACTGGGAGGATTACGGCCCAGAGGAAAGATCCTGGGTACATCGAGATGATATCTTAGACCCTGCTCTTCTGACAAAATTCCATCAACAACATTCACATCGTCCTGCTCCTCATGGCTGTGGTAGGCCACTGGGTCCTCGGTCCGCTGGAGCAGACTATGGAGAGGGGGGTAATGTCATAGATCTGCCAGACTCTCTCACTTCCTCCACCCAGCACTCCCTGTCACCCAAGTACTATTTGTGTCATTCTACTCACCTGTTCTCTCCCGGTTCTGCCCTGTGTACCAATAAAGCTTTATCTGGATCAATTTAACCTCTGTTCAGTGTATATTTCCTGACATATATAAAGTGAATAAACTAGCGTTTATCAACTCATCTTTTTTACATAAACCATGAAAAATCATAAAAACATTAATTTTGCCCTTCATTTAAGTGCTGTTAATGCATGCTCGAATTAGCAACTTTTTGTATTAATTTATTTTTTGACTATCAAGTGACAGTAGCCCCTGACTTGCATTTTATGAATCCCCCAAGACCACAAAATCAGCTAAAAACATTTACTTTACTGTTCCACTGAAGGAAAACAAAGTCATCTACCTTGGATGGCCTAACAGCAAATTTTAATTTTGGATGAACTATTATTTAAAATAACTATGCGTTTACGGTCACTGTCAATAAATAAATACATTTCATAGTAACCCACCTCATGATAGAGAACCAGTTTGTCTGGTACAAGATATCTTGTATCCAACAACGCACAGCCTTTGGAATTTAAAATTGTGTCATTATCATCATAGAGGTTCTCATGACAAGAGTCCATTCCAGTCTTCTGAGGGACATCAGAGGCATTGAGTTTCTGTTGTAATACCTTATCTTGAGTGAAGACCAGTTGCTCCATATCAATAAACTCCTTGATTCTTTTCTCCACTTTGGCCTCTTGTTTTGAATGAATGTCATTAGTTATTTTCTGAAGATAACAACATCATACAATTAATAATAATAATAATAATAATAATAATAATAATAATAAAAATAATAATAATAATAAAGTTGTACTTACAGAGACAGTGTATCTCAGTGGAGGGTGCCGGTCAAACGATGAATAACATATGTCTCTGAACACATTCTGAACAATCTCTGAAAATGAAATTTCATTTATATGACAAGAATGATAAAATTTAACATTTACAGTTAAAATTCAAGATATGATTTTGATGTTTGTTTATTTTTAATTGTCATTTTTGTGTGCTGTACCTGCTTTAGAGTTACTCTGAAGTGCACGAAAAAAAAAATATATTGCTAAATTTGTCTGACTATACTGTATATTAAGAAAAGTGTACACTTACCTTGTACATGCTTCAGTGTTGCTATAGCTGGATCTCGAAGGGCTGCCACATGATCTTTGATGACACTTTCAAATTCACAGAAGTCACTGAACGTTAGCAATTCTCTGCCCCGATGCATCTCATTGTACTTGTCTATCATTGTATATACTTTCGCTGTGACTGCATTAGTAATAACACAAAGAGAAAGTCAGGTTTAGGGATCTTGGTACAGTTCTTCAAAAGGCACAAATGGTTTTAACACTTCTTGACTTACATGATACTTCAGTGCCTCTTAGGTACATTTCCCATTTCTTAAACTCAGGACGTAGAAGTGCATAAATGTTTTGGTCTTTTGAATGTCCTGTTATACTCAGTTCATTTATTTGATCACTGAACTCCATTATTATCTATATATGAAGAAGCATAAATTAGGGGGGGGCGCATAATTATGAATGGAATCAATATATATGGATAGATAAGATTTATTGTGATTACCTCACTAAGAAAAGGTCCCATCTTCTCTTCTTCCAGAGGTGGACCCTGATCGTAGTTTTTAAGCTCCATTTCCACAGTAAGTAGTGTAGTCTGTATCTGCTCAATCAAGTAGGGTAATGATTTCTGTGTTCATAAGAAAATATAACTGGATATATTAACTGGTAGGTTAACTATATTAAACTAACAAATTATTTAACCTTTTATTGAATTAATAAACTGTGAACATACTCGGATACAAATGTAACCTCGGTTCCCTGAGATACGGGAACGAGTACTGCGTATTTGCTAGACGCTCCTTTTTTCTCCTGAACTGAAGCCTTTTTCAATCACGCAGTGAAACTGCACGACCATTGGTTCGTGCAGCATGTTTTAAAAACGAACCAATGGCTCGGCAGCGGTGCTGCACAAACCTATGGCAGCAGAGCCTGCCAAAGCCCGCCAGAATGGGTGGAGTCATCGGGCTATATAAGTGGCCGCTTCGCCATAGGATTCAGGTTACTTCAACTGAAGCGATGACTGAGTTGTGCAGCTGCATAGCACGGCTAGCAACGCAGTACTCGTTCCCGTATTTCAGGGAACCGAGGTTACGTTTGGGACCTATGTTCCCTTTCAATACTACACTCGTACTGCGTCTTTGCTAGACGCTATGGGAACAGTACAATCACGCTGTGCCATGGCAGAGGAAAGAAATTGATAATTATTGTCTTAAGCACCTTAGGGCCCAAGAGAACAAGAACAATAAATTCCTCCAGGCTTAACAGGCTAAGCCTCATGAAGGCCTCACCCAGCCGAGTGATTGTTCCAGAAGACTTGCGCAGCCTCTGGACCCATGGGAGGGCGAGAGCGCACAAGTAAGCTCTCTGATAGGTCTGGGCATATTACATCCAAACTGCACTCAGAGCGAACTGCGCGCCAGTTAAGCAGAAAGAACCCTTGCCTGCAAGGCAGGGACATCCAGGTTTATAGAACCTAGCAAAAGTAGACGGCAAGGCCCAGCCGGCCGCCGCACAAATTTCAGAGTAAATTCAACTCCTGGTCCTCCTCTGAGGGAGGAAGTGCAGAGAGGTTGACAAACTGTGCTCTGAATGGAGTCGAGAGCACCTTAGGTACATAGCCATGCCTTGGTTTCAGGACGACCTTGGAGTCGCCAGGCCCGAACTCCAGGCAATTAGGGCTTATAGAAAGGGCCTGCAAGTCCCCCACTCGCTTGACCGATGCTAGCGCTAGTAGCAGAGCGGTTTTAAATGACAGGGACCGAAGGTTGACGAACTGCAGCGGCTCGAAGGGAGGGCCCTCAGAACAGTGGGCAGGTCCCACGTAGGGACAGTGAGAGGGCGGAGCGGATTTAGCCTCCTGGCTCCCCTCAGAAAATGAACAACAAGGTTGTTCCTGCTGACCGATTGGCCCGTTATAGGGGCATGAGAAGCTGCTATTGCTGCCACATAGACCTTGAGCGTGGACGGGGAGCGTCCCTTGTCCAACAGCTCCTGCAGGAAGGACAGTATCACCGATATATCGCAAGTGAGTGGGTCCTCGCCGCGGTTTGAGCACCAGGCAGAGAACGCTGACCATTTAAGGGCATAGAGGCGTCTTGTCGTCGGAGCTCTAGCCTGAGATATGGTGTTCAATACACACTCTGGGAGACTAATAGGCTCCCGTCGAGTGGCCACAGGTGCAAGGCCCACAGCTCTGGCCTGGGGTGCCATATCGTCCTGTTCGCCTGGGAGAGGAGGTCTCGCCTCAGGGGAATAGGCCACGAGGCTGCTATTAGCAGCTGCGACAGCTCTGACAACCAATGCTGGTTTCTCCAGAGCGGGGCCACCAGGAGCACTTTGCTTTTCTGTTGCCTGATCTGCCTGATTACCTGTGGAATCAGGGCAACCGGGGGAAAAGTGTAGAGAAGGAGGTTGAGCCAGTCATGGGCCAACGCATCCTTGTCCTTGGAAAAATAGATTGGGCAGTGAGAATTGAGGAACCACTTCTATGGCTCCCTTTTCCAGCAAATTCCTCACTTCGGCGCGCAGGACGTGTGCGCTTCAGCGGGACCACTCCGCTGAAGCGCGGGGGTATCAGAATTGGATTAAATAATCCTCGCTTTATTATCCCCAGAACCCATTCTGATACCCCGGGGATGGCTTGCCATGCCTCGGCCCGGGAGGACAGGGGTTGGATTGGTTTGATTGCCTGGTCGCTGCAAGGGGACATGGTACTCATAAGAAATGGAAGAGGGAATTTGCTCTCTCTTTGAAATTGTTTGTGTTTTATTTTGCCCGCTATAACAGCGGATCGCCGGAGCTGGAGCGCTTGGGTAGGAAGTGTCGCATGGCTTGGGACGACTTCTGTGCTTCAGTAAAGTGCTCAGCGAAGCCCTCGACCGCCAGCCAGAGCAGACCGTTGGGAGAGACCGGGGTGTCGAGGAACGGGACCTTGTCAGCGTCCTTGATCTCGGTCAGGGTCAGCCATAGGTGGCGCTCCAACACCACCAGACTGGCCATGGAGCGCCCAATAGCCTGAGCCGTGGTCTTTGATGCATGCAAAGCCAGGTCTGTCGCGCTCCTTAGCTCCCTGAGCGTCGGGAGGGCGCGAGGGGCGGGGTCGCTTTCAGCAAAGAAAGCTATCCGCGAGCGCAGAGAGGCGAGACACATGCTCTCACAGTGGGAGCAATTCGTCTCGGTGAGCGCGGATTCTGCGTGAGATTTCCCAAAGCAGGAAACGCACTCACGATGGCCGTCATCGGCGTGCAAGGGAGCCCTGCACATACCGCAGTAACGGCACGGCATTTGAAACAACGCCATAGAAATTTGCTCTTTATTATCTTGCCGGATGGCGGCAGGGGAACCAGACTGCTGCTGCACGTCGCTGAAGGCGGCGAAAGGCGCTGAATCAGCCGGGCAGAGTCGTTCCACGTAGGCTCTTCAGTCAGCGGAGATGCGAAGAACGTTGTCGTCGCTGAAGGAGAAGAAATCTGAGTCCTATGGCAAAGCGGCCGCTTATATAGCCAGATGACTCTACCCAATCTGGCGGGCTTTGGCGGGCTTCGCTGACATATGTTTGTGCAGCACCGCTGCCGAGCCATTGGTTCATTTTTAAAACATACTGCACGAACCAATGGCCGTTCAGTTACACTGCGTGATTGAAAAAGGCTTCAGTTCAGGAGAAAAAAGGACTTTTTTCCCATAGCATCTAGCAAAGACGCAGTACGAGTGTAGTATTGAAAGGGAACACTTGTTACCTACTGAACATCATTACTGTTTAGATGTTCTTATGAAGTTTAAATGCAGCATTTATTATATATTGTTTACACATTACATAATCCCAGTCATCATTTAGTGCTTGCCTTGATATGATGAACCAATTCTTTGGTCAGGTTGTCTGCCAGGCATTGAATAGATGCTTTTCCATGATTCAGTAGGGAGCTGTCAAGAATAAATAAGTAAATATATATATATATATATCTATTAGGGGTGGAACGGTATATGTATTCGTACCGAACCGTCACGGTTCATCTCGGTTCGGTGCATGAGGCCTTAAAACGAATACAGGCAATTCACCCCCAATCCAGAAGGGGGCGCCCGCAGCAATGCAACGCTGTTTGATAACCGACCCACAGCAGAAGAACAACGAATGCCATGAGTTGCACACTTGAAAACAAATTCCACTAGACAGTGACCATGCGCTGATTCTGAACGTGTCTCTCACAGACTGACAAAGGAGTATACTTTAAAGGCTTGTACACTCAACTGTTTGCGAAATGGAGCTTTGTGCTCGTGTATCCTACTTCTCTCATTCGGCACAAATCCAAATATTCCATAATATTTCCATATTTGCGATGAAACGTATCTGAATGCTAAACTATTGTTTATTATGTAAATTATAGGCTTTGTACTTCAGTCACATTCCAACGGTGACACAGAGACGGGCGTGCTGATGTTTGGTTCACTGTATTTTATTTTGATAAAGTACCAACTGCGCTGTCAAGTTAGCAATGCTGGAACTGATGTTTTGTGTGTGTGTGTGTGTGTGTGTGTGTGCGTGCGTGCGCGCCGGTGTTCAGCCGATTTGTGCCACCCGCTCCGTTAAAAAGATAGGTAGCACAAATCGATAGCGAAAAATGCTACCTATCAGATTGTGCTACCAGCATCTTATTCATGTGGTTTGAGGCTTTTTTTAATGTCCATACCTACCCCTACCCTCAATACATACCCTTAATCTAAACTTACCCTTAAAACAATACAAATACAAATAATTTTGGTAGCACAATCTGATAGGTAGCATGTTTCGTCGGTACACCGGCGCGATCACTTCAACTATTTCCTTATACCAGCAGAATCAACTTTAAACACTTATCGTCTTATTAATAATGCATCACTGTATAAAGGTCTGATTTCATTTGTGTACACTCACAATGAAAACAAAACATTGTGCTTTTGTAAAATAAAGAAAACAAAGGATGTCACTTTCTGCCATTTGAGTTTCCTTTCTGTGAACAAATTAAGCCTGTCACAAAAATGAACTGAAACTCGGGGAATCAGGAGCCCTCCCTGGGCTAAACAGGGAATCAGGAGCCCTCCCTGGGCTTAACTGGGGGTCAGGAGCACTTCCGGGGCTAAACGAGGAATCAGGAGCCCTCATTGGGCTATACTCGGGAACTGGAGCCTTCCGTGGGCTATATTCGGGAATTGGAGCCCTCCGTGGTCTATACTCAGGAACTGGAGCCTTCCGTCGGCTACACTCAAGAATTGTGAAGCGCTTACGAGGAACTGGCACTGGAGGGTGCTCTGGAGGCCTTTCTGGGCTGAGGACGATTGTGGAGCTTCGGATGACTCGGGGGTTCTGTGGGTTGCGCAGGTGGTCGGAGCTGTTGGCGCGGAATGTGGGGGTTCCTGGCGGGAGGTGAGCTGGGGAGACTCGGCGTGTTCCAGAGGGGGCTGGACGACGAGACTTAGACTGTGCCTTTATTTCTTCGACTTCAAAGTCGGAACAAATAAACGACGAGGTTAATCAGCTCGATTAGGGGGAAATCACTCACAGGAAGTTCGCAGCGGATCGTCTGGTCATCGAGCCCCAGCTGAAAACACGCACCTAGAGCGGCGTCATGCCAGCTCACCTGGTTGGCAAGCTCGAGGAATTCCTCCACATATCGCTCCAACCTCTGACCATCCTGCCGTTGATCCTTTGCAGGAGTCCGGGGAACGAATGAGGTCGACGAGGGACAGGATCGCTGGAACGCTGGAGACACTAGAGGTACGTACAAACACCAGGTGAGTAACAGGTAAGGGTCTGGAATAGTTTGCCAGGGTGAATGGTAGACCGGACGGTGAGTGACTGGAAGGAGCGTGCTTTTGAAGGTGGCTTGATTGAAGACGGCAGGTGCAGGTGATCAGAACTCCAGGTGATGGTGATCGTGATTGTGAACAGGTGTGAGCCGGGGAGGATTCTGGGGTATGGAGTCCAGAGCTGGTGACTGGTGACAGAGACTCCCTGACACCCCTCTTCTCCTTATATGGTAAGGATAGATGTTTCTTGCATGTGTCATTAATGCAGCAGATTTTAATAGCAGAGGGGGAAATTTTTGTAAATATTTAGTAAATATTTACAGTGAAAAAAAAAGTGCTTTGCAAAGCTTGATAGTTGCTATCACTATCCTTTTTAACCCTCATTTTGTGTGCTATGAATAAAAAAAAATGGTTTGGCATAACACAAGGGTGAGTAAATGATGACAAAAATTCCATTACTTTAATATTGTTGCTGCAGTATTACTTCTTATATATGTTTTATATATATATATATATATATATACGTCTTGTTCAACAACATTACAGTTTAAAGGAAACAACAGCACAATTTAGGACTAGTGAAAAAAAAAACGTTTAACTTTTAGTCACTTTGGGTGAAAACTGTCTGATGAATAATAAGTGTAAATTATATAAATTATTTTTATTTTCACTATTCAGCATTATTAAGTGTGAACACCAGATGATTTGATTATGGAGGTGAGGGGCACAACTTTTTTGCATGACATAAAAATGTGGAGCAAGAGTATATACAGTATAGTCTAATTTAGTCACAAGGTGCTGAAATAAAAGGAATTTCAAAAGCTTACCACTTCCTCGAGGTACAGCCACTCCAGAAAGTGCCTCCAAAACAAAACTCTTTCCAGAACTCTGATCTCCCACCACTGCAATTGATGGTAGATCTATATCCTTATAAATGCCGATCAACCTCAGAGAGTCAATCAACTCAATCAAAGGCTGAACAGACTCAATGAAGTGATTGTGGATTGCTCCATGAGTTTGTGAATCTGGAAATGAGCTTTATATTTAAAATGTCAAAAGAAAGAGAGAGGGACGGAGGAAAAAAAAAAACAGAGGAAGAGATTTTTTAGGTCAACTGTTGGTGGTTCTGCAGTGGTAGAAAACAATACAAAATCTTTCACTGCAGAGATGAAAACATACCAACATGTTAGTGTTATGATCTGAATTAGAATACTTAATTATGAGGCAATGTCAGTATTTGTGTTGTAAATATTTTAGTATTTAGTATAGTTGTATTGTATATGTGTATTTATATGAACACCTCCAGCATTGTGATGAAGAAAAAAAATACAAGAACAGACTTGATACTTGCACAGTTGATTCAGTTTTACTTACAAACCTGTCACTTTTAGAATCAAAAAATGTCACCACCACAGTATTGATTAACAGCATGCTATGGTGGAAATGATGGTGATAAAACACTTTAAGTAATCAATTAAACAGCCAAACATCTGAGGCATTACTGTATACTGTACCTTTCTGCGCCTTGGCAACTGTAGTCTGTAAGTTTGTTTTGACAATCCATAATCTATCTAAAAATGAATTTAGAAATTCCAAACTGAGATGTGATTTGTTAGCAACACGTTTATTCAGTGAGTTCTTTAGTACTTTACTTTCACTTGAATAGTACTATGCATAGTAATGATTAAAGGGGTCATATGATGCTTTTTTAAAGATCAATATTTTGTGTATTTGGTGTAACAGAATATGTTGACATGCTTTAATGTTTGTTAAACACATTATTTTTCAAATACTGTACATTATTGTAAGTCCTCTATGCCCCGCCTCTCTCAAACGCTTCGTTTTCTACAAAGTCCCGCCTTCCGACAAGCGCAGTCTGCAAGCACGCGTCGGAAATGTAACGCCCAAAACAATACAAAATCTTTCACTGCAGAGATGAAAACATACCAACATGTTAGTGTTATGATCTGAATTAGAATACTTAATTATGAGGCAATGTCAGTATTTGTGTTGTAAATATTTTAGTATTTAGTATAGTTGTATTGTATATGTGTATTTATATGAACACCTCCAGCATTGTGATGAAGAAAAAAAATACAAGAACAGACTTGATACTTGCACAGTTGATTCAGTTTTACTTACAAACCTGTCACTTTTAGAATCAAAAAATGTCACCACCACAGTATTGATTAACAGCATGCTATGGTGGAAATGATGGTGATAAAACACTTTAAGTAATCAATTAAACAGCCAAACATCTGAGGCATTACTGTATACTGTACCTTTCTGCGCCTTGGCAACTGTAGTCTGTAAGTTTGTTTTGACAATCCATAATCTATCTAAAAATTAATTTAGAAATTCCAAACTGAGATGTGATTTGTTAGCAACACGTTTATTCAGTGAGTTCTTTAGTACTTTACTTTCACTTGAATAGTACTATGCATAGTAATGATTAAAAAGAAAAAAGAAAAATAAAGTGTTGTCTCCTTACCTTATGATTTTGTAGCAAAGTAGCAAAGTTCAAAATCCCATAGCTTTATATGTCATCTTTCACACATCTTTCAACATTTATTAACAGAAGTTTATTGTTAGTTAAGAAACTAATGCAACTCGTATGAGATGACTGAATTACCCGTAATAAGCAAACACTGGAGAAAGGTCAGAACTGATTCATGTAAATTCTTAGTTGTATGACAAATCTCTTTTTTTAGGAAGTTCATCAAGGCAGATATAAATTCTCTCTCTCTCTCTCTCTGTCTCTCTCTCTTTATTAATTGATTGATTGGGGGGGGTCTTACTTTTGTCATTTTCATGTTACAGCTGTACTGTCATTGAGTGTGATGCTATCCTTATCCTCCATTACTTTATTATTCGTCAGCTTTGTTTGACAGGGTCAGCAGACTGAGGCTTTTGCATTTATTAATCAACAAACACTCGTACCACACGTGCATTGGCAAAATACTCACTTTACTTGACTCAATATAACAACTGTTCAATAAGTAGGTGGAACTGTTATTAAAGCACTGCAGAACAGGCAAGACAGAGGGAACAACTGAAGATGATGGGCAAAAATGGAATGCAGTCCACTCACACAGCAGTAGATGAATGTCAAACATGTAACACTTTAAATTAAGGTTCCCTTCATAAAGGGTTTATAAAGGTGTTCATAAATGACTAATAACTCATTTACAAATGCATAATAAATCATTGATAAGCAGTTATAAATGCATGAATAAAAAGGGTGATTTTAATGCAATACCTGCCTAATAGTGAGAGACTTGCACAGGCAAGTACAGACACACAGGCTTTGATGATGTGATCCTGAAAGAGTATAACAAATATGCATTATATGCAATGAATTATTTTTTAGTAGTAGTAGTAGGTCCTACTAATAATAATACAAAATAATACAAAATACATTGCATATTATACATATTTGTCACAGATTGTAGTGAAGGTCAGTGAGGAAATAGGACTCAGATGCAGCAGTAAGTCACACTGTTTGAACAGTTCCAACGTGCTCTGTAGTGAAATATTAATCTCATATAGTGTTTACTGATTTCACGGGTAAGCTAACTGTGAGGTGACTTTGCAGAGCATGTTTTTCAAGTGTTTTAAGTGTGGTCGCTTTGTTGGTTCAATTAATTTGTTCCCATACAAATAAATAACCTTGCTGGCGCTCCCGCAGACGGTTTATGGAATTACTTTTGTGCCAATAAAAATTAATGTAATTTTTCAAGAAACTTATGAAAATATAAATTGAAACTGTAAAAAATGTATTTGAAACAGAAAAAAAAAAAATCTATCGCAGGCAAAATATTTGACTTCGCTTTTAATACACGGCATGTTTTGCTAACTGTTTTCTCCTCTTTCTTTCTTTTCATGGAGGCTGGGCTAGCAGCGGTGTGTTCTCATTGGCTACTGAGTTTTTGATTGACAGTTTCTTGACCTGGAAATGAAGGCGTCAGTTTTGCGCCTGTGTGGATGTGAGCGTCTGTTAGCGGCTTCCTATTTCATTTTAGTGATACAAAGTTAGGAGTTTTGTTCTTGAGTTTAATCTGTATTATCTGTATTTAAGCGCGAGAGAAAATGAAGGTCTATTGCGGTTTAATTAGATGTAATGTATATAATACTGAAAATATTGTATAATATCCAATGTTTTCGTAGAATATTTGATTATTGCTGATGATTCTTTTGCATTGTAGGGTCTAATTAGATTGTGCTGTTACAATTTAAAGATAATACTAGTATCATATGTGTGTGATATATTCAGACGTCAAGCAAGTCTCACTCCAACCAGGTAATCAAAGTTGGCAACCCTGGCCATAACATTTAGTATATGCACTTACACCATTACAATTAATGATCACTTAATTCTGAAAAATTCAAACAATATGAAAATTACAATCGTGGCTTGTCAGACGGTAGAGACCTCAAAGGTCATTTCATTGCACATTCCACAAAAAGAATGTTCTTGCTACCAATTGTGTTTTATCATGCTGATCATTTTGTTTAGTTATTTTATTTAGTTAACATTATCGTCTAACATTTAAAATTGGAAATACATTTTTTTAGCAATCATCTGCTCTTTCAAGTGTGACTTTTATAATCCAGTTGAATGAATGTAATGTAATTGAAAATATGAATTAATTCAAATAAAATTGAATTATTTATTGTCACTACAGCATATACACAAGTATCAAAGTGAAAGTCTTGGATGCAATTATATGTTGTGACAGAAAAGACCAGAATCCACAAAACACTAACTGCACAGTATACATGTAATGCACAGTATTCTCGTAATATACATTACTATACAAAATGCACAAGTACATAATATACAGAACATATATAAAATTCATATTTGTTTTAAACACTGCAATGATCCTTTGAACAGTTCCTGTTACAGTATAAGTAACAAAACAGTGAATTAGTATGTTATGTAATCGAGTGCAATATCAGTCTTTACAGGGATAGTCCACACAAAAAATTTAAATTCTCTAATCATTTACTCACCTTCATGGCATTTCAGATGTACAGTGGGTACGGAAAGTATTCAGACCCCCTTAAATTTTTCACTCTTTGTTATATTGCAACCATTTGCTAAAATCATTTAAGTTAATTTTTTTTCCTCATTAATGTACACACAGCACCCCATATTGACAGAAAAACACAGAATTGTTGACATTTTTGCAGATTTATTAAAAAAAAAAAACTGAAATATCACATGCTCAGTATTTAGAGTAGAAGCACCCTTTTGATCTAATACAGCCATGAGACTGTGGGTACATTAATGAGGAAAAAAAATTAACTTAAATGATTTTAGCAAATGGCTGCAATATAACAAAGAGTGAAAAATTTAAGGGGGTCTGAATACTTTCCGTACCCACTGTATATGACTTTCTTTCTTCACATAAACACAAACAAAGATTTTTAAGAAAATAATCCATCTCTGTGAATCCACATAACACAAGTGGATTGTAACCCATGCACGTATGACAGTTGATGGGAAGCAATTGTTAATAGTCAAAACAGTTTAAATTATTAGTGTTTTTCTTATATATTGTTTCACTTCAAAATACACTGATTCAACCACTGGGATCAGATGGTTTACTGTCACGGTCACTGTGTGTGGTTTTTAAAGCATCTTTAGGACTCACAGAGATGGATAATTTTCCTAAAAATCTTAATTCCTGTTTACCTGTAGAAAGAAAGTGATATGCATCTGGGACAGCATGAGGGTGAGTAAAAGATTAGAGAATTTAATTTTTTTTTGGGTGAACTATCCCCTTCACAATCATATGCTGTTGGTATGCTAATGCAAGATCAGCATAGACTAAAAGGACTAAAGTACAACCACTTGTGTACTTGTGAACTTTGTTTGTTTTAATCTAGAGCTCCAAAGAAATTAAAAATAAAAATATTAGGTTACATTTTATTTTAAGGTGTCCTTGTTACAGTGTAACTATGCATTTAAGTACTGAGTAATATTAATTAACTACATGTACATATTATAAGGTTAGGGTTAGGATTAGGGTTTGGCTTAGGGTTACTTGCATGTAATTATGCATAATTAAGGACACCTTAAAATAAAGTGTTACCAAATATTATATCAGGTGTCTGAAGATCAAGATCCCAGTCATTCAAAGGTGATGTGTCTAAACAAAATAAGATTCTTGTCTGATGGGGCAATGGATCTCTGGTACTACCACTACATTGTCTGGGTCAGCATCAGAATTTTGTTTATGGAAAAGTTGCTCCACTCCCTGGAAATTGAGAAAGGAGATGTATTATAGTCTAAGAATACAAACTGCTTTGAACTCCCACATAACAAATTTCAAAATTAAAATATTTCAAACAAATAAATTGACAATTTTTGCATTATTATTACAGTCAAATCTGGACACAGAAAAAACATGGTAAAAAGGCTTTACATTGCCAAAGTTGACAGCGCTCTGGGAATCAGGCAGTGATTGACAGCGCTTTTGTAAAATGGCATTGGTCATTGACAGATACAGTACATTTAGTACTGTACATTACTCTATGTACTGGGGGAAATATGATCTAATCAAAGCAGATATGATCTAATTGAAGACGGTAACTGTATGTAGGTAACCAGGTCCTGTGATGATTGGGCTAAATTAAGACAACTTAACACAAGTATCCTGGTAACGACGATGATTGATGATAATGATATCATTTGTCTGTGCTATTCCTAAGAAATCATCTCAACAATGTAGTGTAGCAGCAGATAAATACTGATAAAATAATAATAAAAAAATATTTATATCATTAAAATGAAATTGGAAGCCGCTAACAGATGCTCACATCCACACTGGCAAGGCAACACTGTCACTGACGCCTGCATCAGAAGTTTGTTTATGGAAAAGTTGCTCCACTCCCTGGAAATTGAGAAAGGAGATGTATTATAGTCTAAGAATACAAACTGCTTTGAACTCCCACATAACAAATTTCAAAATTAAAATATTTCAAACAAATAAATTGACAATTTTTGCATTATTATTACAGTCAAATCTGGACACAGAAAAAGCATGGTAAAAAGGCTTTACATTGCTAAAGTTGACAGTGTAGTGATTGACAGCACGCTTGTAAAATGGCATCGGTCATTGTCAGATACAGTACATTTAGTACTGTACATTACTCTATGTACTGGGGGAAATATGATCTAATCAAAGCAGATATGATCTAATTGAAGACGGTAACTGTATGTAGGTAACCAGGTCCTGTGATGATTGGGCTAAATTAAGACAACTTAACACAAGTATCCTGGTAACGACGATGATTGATGATAATGATATCATTTGTCTGTGCTATTCCTAAGAAATCATCTCAACAATGTAGTGTAGCAGCCGATAAATACCGATAAAATAATAAAAACTCTTTAGGCTATATGTAATTTTATATCACTAAAATTAAATAGGGAACCGCTAACAGAAGCTCACAGACACACAGGCGCAACACTGACGCCTTCACTTCCAGGTCAAGAAACTGTCAATCAAAAACTCAGTAGCCAATGAGAACACACTGCTGCTAGCCCCGCCCCCATGAGAGATTTGTGCCAGAATGGCGAACAAAAACTTCAGAGGCGTAAGTGAAAACATTTGAGTTGAGTGTCATCAGCATAGCAGGGATATGAAAAGCCATTTTTCTGAATGACAAATCCGAGTGATGCCTTGTAGATAGAGAAGAGAAGTGGTCCAAGAACTGATCTCTGAGGCACCCCTGTAGCTAGATGTTGTGATTTGGACACCTCACCTCTCCATGATACCTTGAAGGACCTATCTAAGAGATAAGACTCAAACCATTGAAGTGTGGTTCCTGAGATTCCCTTTGCCATGAGGGTTGACAGAAGGATCTGGTTGTTAACTGTGTCAAAAGCAGCAGACAGATCCAGCAAGATAAGTACTGAAGATTTGGAAGCCACTTTTGCCAGTCTTAGGGCTTCAACAACTGAGAGCAGGGCAGTCTCGGTACAATGTCCACTTCTGAAGCCAGGCTGGTTGGTGTCCAGGAGGTTTTTCTGTGAGAGAAGGGCAGAGACTTGGTTAAACACAATTTGTACCGGTCTGTAGTTTTCTAAAAGTGCTGGGTTAAGAGTGTGTTTCTTAAGTAGTGGGGTTATCCAAGCCTGTTTATATGCTGAAGGAAAGACACCAGTGTGAAGGGATGTGTTAACTATGTGAGTGAGTGAGTGCAGGTACAACTGAAGGCGAAATGGCTTGAAAAAGATTAGATGGAATAGGATCAAGTGGACAAGTAGTAGGATAATTGGAAAGAATGAGTTTGGAGACTTCTGCCTCTGAATGTATAGAGAAGTATGTGAGCAAGTGTATGTTTGCTGGCAAGATGTGTTTGTCAGTTTGTGGTGAGGAGAATTGTGCACTGATGTTTTATTAATGAAGAATGTGGCAAAGTCATTAGCTGGTAGAGTAGATGAAGGAGGAGGAGGAGGAGGACAAAGGAGGGAGAAAAACATTTTAAAGACCATGCAAGAGTTAGATGTATTGTTAATTTTGTTGTGGTACCACAAAGAAGGTGAGAGTTCCTGGGACTAGGTATTAAAAGGTTTGTACCTAATGTTGTCCTTTTAGCAGTGGAGACATTAGCAGAAAATGAAGATAGGAGTAAACGATACACATTAAAGTCAGTAGGATTTTTTGATTTGCACACCCTCTCTGCAGCCCTTAGTTTAGAAGGGGGCTCGTGGAGAACATCAGCTAGCCAAGGGGCAGAAGGGGTGTCATGGGCTGGCCTGGAAAAGAGGGGCCAAACTGTTTAAACATGACTCAGAAGTTCGTACACGAGGGACACCAAAAAATTGTGATAAATGGCTGGAGCCCTTGTTGATTGCTGTGAGAGTGGTCCCACAAACCTCTGTGGGTTTCCCCCCCTTTGAACTCCTTATGGACATCAGGGTGCTCGATGGGTCATCAGATAGCCAATATGAAATTCAGTATGTGCTGGACCTCCAAGCAAAACTCCACGATTTTTCACTTTCCATAAAGAATTTTCTGCAGGTCCAGGACAAACAGAGCCAGTTGTACAACAGGGCCACCAAATTGTGTGAATTTTCATCAGAAGATAAGGTACTTAATTGCTCCTAATGTCTAGTTCCAAATTACTTGCCAAGTGGCAAGGAGAAAGGATTCTCCTTTAATAAAAAAAGGAAATAGTACAAAGTTGAAGCATGTTGTAGAAATATATGTTTGGACTATATTTTTTCTCTGTGCTAAAATGATTTAATTTTAACAAGTCTATACTCATAATGCAAAAATGAATACTCTTGTTGACAATGCATATTTTCTTCAATGCTAAACGGAGCAGAGAACCAGGGTGGAGCCGGCAGAGCAGGTGGAGCTGAGGACCACCACAGCTGAGCAGACGGGTCCGAAGATCCCCACGGCGGAGCAGAAGACCACCAGAGCAGGACAGGAGACCACCAGGCCAGAGCAGAAGACCACCACGGAGGAGCAGAAGACCACCAGGCCGGAGCAGACAGAGCAGAAGACCACCACGATGGAGCAGACTGGACAGAAGCCCACCAGAGCGGAGCAGACAGGACAGAAGCCCACCAGGGCGGAGCAGAAGACCACCACGGCGGACCAGAGTGATCCGGATCCCATGGCGGGGACTGGGGCCTAGGGAAAACTGAGATACAAGATATAAGCAGTGCATTTACGGCATCAAGGACCGGAACTGGAAATACAGTGGGCTTATTAAAAGTTTCTTTGGGCATGACTGACAGGGTTAAAAGTTCAGTGTTGGTCTCCTTAAGATTGGCTGGACAGACAGACAGTTCATAGTTGGGGGTATTGGCAAAAACTGAGTGGGTTGACAGTTCACAGTTAGATTCAAGAGCATACCTAAAACAGGCAGACAGTTCAAAACTGGATGTATTGACTGAAAATGGACTGGTAGACATTTCATAACCAAAATCAGAAACTAAAACAGGACTGACAGAAAGTTCATCAGACATATTACTCAAGACTGGGCAGACAGATAGTTCAAAGTCAAGTGCATTGATTAAAACTGGACAGGCAGACAGTTCACAAACAGACTCACTGACTGAGACTGGACAGGCAGACCATTCAAAATCAGTCTCATTGGTCGAAACAGGACAGACATATGGCTCAAAACTAGAATTCTTGACTGAAACAGGATAGATAGACAGTTCATTCATGGTCTCTTGGGAAATGACAGGGGTAATGGGACAGACATGGAGTGTTTTTGTAGTTTCTGGGCTCATGACAGACAGAGTTAAGAGGTCAAAGGCGGATCTTTGGGTTGTGACAAGGTTACTTGAGCCTTCAGGGAGCTTAGTTAAGGTTTCTGGGGTCGTGACTGAACTTGGGGGGTAGATAACAGGTTCATTGATTGCAATGAGACTGACAGAAACTTCAAACACATTACTTGAAAGTGGACAGACAAATGGCTCAACATTAGACTTACAGACTGAAACAGGACTGACAGAAAGTTCAAAATCAGGATCATTAGCAATATTTAGACAGACAGAAAATGTATTAGTGGCCTCTGGGCTCGTGACAGGGCTAGCAGGGCAGACAAAAAGTTAGTTAACGGCCCCTATGGCCATGACAGCATTAACTGGGCAGGGAAAAAGTACATTTAAGGCCTCAGTCGCAACAGGCTGGTTTGAGAGTTCCAGAATGGCTCTTGCAGCCGCAACAGAACAGTCAGGAAATTCACAGACAGCGTCCTTGGCTGTGACAGACAGGGCTGAGAGTTCATAGGCAGCCTCCTCGGCTGGATCGGAACAGGACAAAAGTCTATAATTGGCCTTCATGACAGGTTTAGAACAAGTCGAGAGTTCCGAGATAGCCTCCTATAAGTGGATACCACTGACACCTCTGGAGATTCTGCAGCGGATGCTGCCACCTCTAGAGGTTCTACAGCCGTACCATCAGGAAACAGGGAAAGTTCATGAATATTCTCCTTAACAAAACAGGCACAGAGTTCAGCAATGGTTCCTTCGACCGTGACATGACAGGCTGAACGTGTATTGCCGGGCGCCACCACCGTGCAAGGAGCTGAAGCGAGCACCGCCGCCTCGGGAGGTTCTGCAGCATGGGCCGCCACCTCTGGAGAAGCTGCAGCGGGCGCCATCGCCTCGGGGAACACGGCAGCATGCCGCTGGTTTAGGGATACCAGCTGCATGTGCTGACACCAGCGGTGGGTCCTCCACACTGGATGCCAGTCTGGGACACTGAAGAACAGTCCTTGAAGATCTGGGTGCAACAGAAAGGAAGTGACAGGACTCTGAGCGAACAGACGTGATGTGACGTGACTCTGGATGATCAGCTGTGATGTGACGTGACTCTGGATGATCAGCTGTGATGTGACGTGACTCTGGAAGTTCAG